GCAAACGTCTCGGCAGATCTGACAATTTTGCCATGCGAAACCGAATCAAACGATTTCGAGATATCAAACGCCAGGCTGGGGTTAGTGGTCTCTGGAGTGTGACGAAGCAGGGCATGCAACAGCGATGTGGCTTCCAAACAGCCGTCTCGATGCAGAAATGCAAACTGAAGTGAGAACAGTTGCAATCTACGACTCCAGCGATCAGCACCTTACGGAAGCAACGGACAAGAATGGATGACACGGAGATCGGTCTCAGTTGATCTGGTGAAGTTGGATTTGGGACTTTCGGAACTAGAGTAATATGGGCTCGACACAGATGTGGGGGACAACCCCCAGATAATGACAGTAATTCGAAATACCCAGGAAGATATCAACGAACGCCAAACTAAGGTTAGAAGCAGTAAAGCAGAGCAACGAAGCAGGGCATGTAACGGGGGTGTAGCTTCCAAACAACTGTCCCGATGTAGAAGTGAGGAAGCTGCAATCTGCGACTCTAGCCATCAGCAAGCACCTTATGAAATCATCAGACGAGGATGGGTGACACGGAGATCGATCTCAGTTGATTCGGTGAAGTCGGATTGGGGACCTTCGGAACTATGGTAATACGGGTACGACACGGTGGATTTTGCTTGCCAGTTAAGCACCCGTAACCTGGTTGTGATGCCGATCGACCAGGAGAATACTACTCCAATCTCGCGAACAGCGCAGTTTGTGTCCCACAAGGCGGATACAAATCGTTAGCCAGGCGCAAGAGTGATTTTGACTCTAGTTGGGACCAGCGAGGACAGGAATACTACACCAGGCCAAGCTTATCTGTATTATGCTGGGTGGGGTGTGCGTACCGGTGATGTTGCCTCAGGCCAATCTCCGTCGGAAAAAGGCGGCAAAAATCAGCGCAGGCCAATTGGGCGACCTTATTCGTATCGACACTTTCATCATCGATGGTAGGCTACCAAGTCAGCTTTCGAAGGGCGAGATGGACCAAGTGGTTAGAGCGCGAATTCACTGACCGGAAGGTCCGTGGTTCGAACTCGACCTCTGCCACTCGACTTCCCCTGTCTAGGCTTGGGCAACCTGGCAGTACTCCAGCCTTCGTGCCTCCTTCGTGTGGCACGGCAGCTAGGCACCGAAAGGGTGCTACAACTGAACGATTTTTTTCAGTTTTCGATTTGCAGCACTTGCCACATTCCTCACACGTAAGCCCCACGAGTCTCTCCTGTGTACTGATTAGAACTGGTGCGAAGGCGCCGGATGATTCGTACTGTAAAGTGTCGAAAGTAACCAGCACATTGAAACCAAACAGGTTGGTTGGCCCTGTCTGGAGTTGCTGAACTCTTTGCTCATCCAGACTGAAGTCCAGGCTACCCAGTTGGCACCACGAGGAGGTGGTTCCACTCGTCACTGCGGAGCTGATCCTCAAAGTCTCCGCATACGTTTCAGAACTGGAACTGCATCGACAGACCTCCACGCACATATAGCGTCAAATATGTTTTGCATTTAGCCACGTGTACAACAAACTGAACTCTCTCTGTTCGATGTCAACACGAAAAGGACGAGATGTTGGGCAGTGGGCAGTCGTTTAGCCATCAGCATGTCCAACTGGTGGCCCAACATTGTCAAATTTAATGGGGTCTCTGAACAGTTGAGACCCATATTCCATGTAAAAGGTGGTTTGATGACCCGCACCACTTATAAAAACACCCACTGCACACATATAATCAACTCTAGCCATTTAATAATCAGCTCCGTTTGTACAGTCGTGGTCATGGATAGTCACCTCTAGTACATTCGTTGGTTTAGCACTCTTGAATGTACAGTGTTGTGGTGGATCGTCCGTAGGTGAATGAATGGGATGCACATAAACGCAATACAACAAAACGGAAAGGCTATGTGGTGGGACGCAATTTATTTGAAACATGTATGAGATAGCGTTGCGGGCAGACGGGTAACTGGCGAATCCGAACTGTGGGCTTTAAGCTGACCAACCAGCTGACGCTATAGCGATCTCGCGGACTATACTGCTTGGAACTTCGTTTCTTAAGGTTCCGTCATACTAGTAAGGCTAAATAGTTACAGTCAGACAAACAGCAGCCTGCGTCCATACTACGAGCGACCGTATTACGAGGGCGCTTGAGGACGAAGTTGTACCCTCGGCGACGATAGTGTGAAAACAGGAATTTGTTTCATTCAGACGACCATTTCCATATTTGTAGAATTAACAATGTTGCCTTCCCTCGAGGACGGACAAGTTAGAAAAGTTTGACATCAGAAGCCACACACCCCGATTATCCAACGGTTGTCCGCGACTGCGGACACAATATAGTCGAGATACGATCAGGAGCCCGATGTGGCTCCAAGTGCATCTGTTGTCATTAGGCCGAATTCTCTGCATTGCCCGTTGTGTTCTCAAGCCAGACAAACCCGCTGCCATCTTACAGTGGATCAGAATATCGAGTCGTTGGCTTTGCTGTAGGAGTCCCGAAACAAACCTTACACCCTGCTGCCATGCAAGACAGCCTTTTCAGTCAAAGTGTCGAAGCTGGGTCCCAGAATAAGGCTCGAGATTCATCGCGCTTTGTGGTTAACGCTTTTGAGTCAAAGACTCAAGTGAGGTGTACAAAACGAACCCTCCTCAAGACTGGGCAGTGGGGAACTATCTTTTTTCCTTCGTGGGACCGGTTATTTTTATTTTAATTCTTCCAGCTCATGGTCTAACTCCCAACCCAGAAGCGAAAAGATGCCCCGCTCATGTTGAATTGATTGTTCCATTTGGCGTCATCATCATCAGCGACAGCATGGCATCACTATTCAACACTGAAGGTTCACCGCCGTACAGCCATGATGGATTTGAAAGCCTTATTTGAAACAAAAAGAAAAACAGTGGATGCAGAGGGGACTAACCACTAGCCTACGGCAATCATCATCATCATCAAAGACAGCAACACCTGTGTTGCCACTGATGCTTCACTGCGGTAAAACCATAAGGCTAGTGTACTTATGTTATATCTAAACCTCAGCGTGAAAATAACAGAGTGGGCAGAGCAGGGGACCTAGTGCTGCACTATGTCAAGCATTCCGAGGTGGCTACAACTCCAACCGCTCATTCAGACAATGTGGGAAGAAACTGACAGCACGAACGCCACTGATATCGATTAGTCGCCATTCCTTGCAACGTCTCCAGCCAAGCACAGACAGGGTCACGGAGAGCCCATCCTGGAAGGTGTACAATACCGACAACACCCAAACTCTTCGTGATCTCTTTCACGCCCTTCTGCTAAGTCATGCGCTGTTCACTTCGTGGTTTGCGCCATTCTGAAGGACACACGGATAACAACACGCGGTAAATGACATTGCATTTACCACAATCATTCTGAGGTGCATTCCCCTCCGTACACTCATTCAGGCAATCTGAATAGAAACTGATATCAAGAACGCCATTGACATCGACCAGCAGCGTCTCCAACTAGGCACAATGGGAATCATGCGGTCCCCATCCTAGAAGACGAGCAGCACCGACAGCTGCTCGTTTCGTACTCTTTTTGATACTCCTCTGCCAAGTCAAGGGTTGGCCACTTATTTGCTTCTGCCACTCTGAATCGGAGACGGAAAACAGCACTCTCTTCTGTAAACGATGGTTCGACATACGCAGTTTATGGTCTAACCGTCGCAGATTCTGGTGCTGGACATACTCTTTAGTGGAATTTCCCGTTACACAACCGAAAACTCGCTTTCCTACTGCCTTGCCACGGATTCGCCCACACCGAAACACACGGGCTACGGTTCTGAGACAATGGTTGTCGAACACCTTAAGTTGTCTCAGCGATACAACAAAACAGCCCGCACTGTAACCCGATACACACGTCCCTTGAGATTCAGGGATACATCGCTTTGGCGCCATAAGTGTCGCAACTTAGCAAACGCGACCTGAGCCTTGCAGATTCGTGGATTGTCCTCATCTGTCACACTACAATCAAAACCAATACAAATTCCAAGATGCGTAAAACACTCCACAACTCCAAATGCCTCGCCCCTGTTCAGTGACTGCATCTGTAGGAGCATGGCCTTTGTGGGTACAAAGTGTATACCAAAGGACGGGATGACTCTGGTCAGTTCATCCAAAAACCTTGGTCTTCTCTTAGAAGAAGGAAACGATGTCTTCTGCGTATTCCAGACCGACAAGGTTTTCATCAGCTACTATTTAAACACTAGGGTTATGAAGACCTTCCAGCGTTCGTCTCATCTCATCGATTGTGAAATTAATTAGGAATGAAGAGAGTGTGCACCCCTGGCAGCACCGCGCACGCAGACGTTTGGAGAGCTCTCCGTTTATTCTCACGTCCAGAAACCTGTGAAGTCCAGAAGACGTGTCTGGTAAATTCGTCTAACATCCGGATCTGCCAGCCTCAGATGCTAGGTGAGAAAACGGAGAGGAAAACGAATTCGGACGAGTGAATAGTGTTCCAGAGCGAGTGAAATTCAGTTATTAATCCTCTCAATCGGTAACCGTTGGCGATGTGACCCATTCGTGTTCATCGCTGGCTCGCTGATCGAGGACCTTGTGTGGCTAGAAGACTTCGGTTATTTCGGAAGTTAGTACATTCAGTCTTCGGTCAGCATACAGTTGCATCATTTGTTCGCTATTGTCCGAGCATGCCGAGTTCAATCTATATTGGCCACTCATTTGAGCTTGGGTTGCGCTTAGTCTTCCGACTTGTACATTCAGACCCCCGCAACGAGAACGATATCTGAGCTTTTAGCTCACCTTAACATGGAGCTCATGTCATCATAAAATTTGTTCTTTAGTGATGTCAGAACTACAGTCGTTTGGGGGTGAAAGCGGACACGACAAATGGACAACGGTCAACTTCCCACTTGTCAGATCCCTTCACGGACGTTGTCAGACGAACCGCACACAGAACTACTAACGGGCATCCATTCAGGCAAGGATCCTTCCGCCCGGTGACCTAGGACGATACCATTCCGTGCACACCTTGTCGCAGGAGCCTCTGGATCGCCGGAGGTGCGCAGTCTGAAGCGAGTGGTGACTGATGGGACGGTTAGCTCAATAACTGTGGTTGAATCTTTAATCGTTTCGTATACACAGCACACATCTATATCAGGTGAGTCCAGTGTGAGAGCAAGAGCAGCTTGTTGTCCTGCTTGCTCCGGAGTGTAAACATTGAAGCAGCCAAATAAACTGCGCACCGAAGCTTGAAGATTGATTTCGAGCTGCCCGGGGATGTCAGCCCCGGATAGCACGCAGATGTTGCTTGCAAAACAGATGTAGGACGAACGGAGTCATCAGTCCTACCTGACGGGCCCACAAGGGTAGAGTGAGCTCCAGAAGCCTCACTGGTTCGAACCCAACCTCTGTCCTTCGACTGCTCCTGTCTAGGCTTGGGCAACCCGGCAGTCTCTGAGTCTTCGTGCTTCTTTTGGGTTGCAAGGCAGCTAGGCACCGAAAGGGTGTGACAGCCGGACAACTGGTATCCTTATGACTACAAGGACGGAGTTACCAGTGGGGTAGGGGAAAGGATGAAAAAGTATTTGTAAGAGAATTGAGGGAGGCATCATCAGTAGCCTGTTTTCGCTTACCCTCCCTGCTGTATGCAGGAAGTAAAGTGACCCGGATAGTGCAACCACGCGACGGCCGATGTGTCATGAGTTTATTTGTAGGTGTTCAATTCATGGTTGTGTGTAGGTTGTACCACTACCGTGGCGGCCGCACCTAGATTGGAGGACGCTTAGGGTCCTCAACCAAGGCCTTTCGCTCAAAATCCTGACCGCAAGACATTGGTGTTTGGCGATAAACGCAAATACATTTCAATTTTTACAGAACAAGTCACCACACCCCCAACCCGGAGGGCCAGGAAACTGTTCGTCAGACGTCTAACCATTGATCAGCGTGGTATGAGGAGCTGAGAGTGTCCCACAGACAGTATAGCTCAGTGGGTCACGGAGACACAAACCGTCTCACCACGGTAAGGTCCATTACCTCTGTGGTGGGTGGTGTTGCTCATCGGTGCTGATCCTTGACCGTGATTGGTTGTTCGGTGACCACATGACCTTTGAACTTGGCCTCCCTTGTTCTCGTCCACTGATCGATGCTCGAGTGATCTACATGAGACCCCATTTATTACTTTTCTGTGACTGAGGGTTTTCTGAAACCCGGAAGTCTGTGTAAGCTGTAGGAGCATGTACTTTATTTTTGATGGACAAATGTCAACGGCTAAAAGGGACTTCAATGGGATGTCAGAAATCAGGATCCCAGAATTCAGAACGCATATACTACCAATGAAATCCAAAGCCATGGCTCCGCTGCGGAGACGACATTTCGCTATCTTGAAACGAGGTTCAGTACATATTGCTTATGGACTGCTCAATGCTACTTTTGAAAATATCAAGTTTGCAGCCGAACTGGTGGGGAACAACCGACTACCATTCTTCGAAGTTTTTGGGAACAGGAAATTGGGTTGGACGACTTGCGTATACTGACAAGGAACTCACACGGATCAGATACTGAACTACAACAGCAATCACTCAGTGGACCACAAGAAGAGCTGTATTCAAACCCTGTTCAAGATAGCGGAGACACGTTGCAGTAGCACAGGGCTAGCGATAAAGAAAGAATATCATTTATTCAGAGTTTCAAAGAGCCACGGACATCTTCTCAAGAGAAGATTAAAGAAGACGCCTCAACGGCAGGAACATCAATTACAAACGGCAGCCATTAGTGAATCGTTCCGCCTTATATGTGAACTCAGCCAGGGTTTTGGATCAAAAAGAGATTCTAGTAGCCCGCAAATCGAATGCTTCTTTACGAAAACTGATCTCAAGACCAGAAGGCAGCATTTGCAAAACAGTGCGATGTATCGGGTCAACTTCACAAAGATCTATATTGAACAAACTGAAACTATGCACGCGAATAAAAGCCCTCAACACGGTCATCGGAGTGCACGGCTCCCTATCCTTTATTTTTATAGAAGGCCATCGGAAAACGTGGTGTGCAGAGGTATGGCATTCCATTAAGGACAGGTTGAACTAGACCTAATTTACGCAAAGGACCAACATCTGGACCCGAATACTCAAAGAGAGCCCACAAGTAGACTAACAATCGCAGAAACAGGAAACCCTTGGAGTCATGTGAACAAAGATAATAAAGTCGGACCCAGAGAGGTCAACGACAGATCACTCGATCACCAACCACTGAACGAGATTGAGGCTAGGCCAAAGGTCACGTGGTCACCGACCAATCAGGGCACAATAGCAGGCCAACCAAAAGAGACGCCCAACCAAGCAACCAATCATACTCGGAGGCCAGCCCCGAGTAGTAATACGTAGGTTTAAATCCATGCACAACCACTGACGCATCATTGAGCTCCATTCCGCTCCAAGAAAGGCACTGATGATGTCACCTCGACTGGTGACGAAACGTTTACAATCGAATTTCCCATTTCAGCGACCAAGTTCAGACTAATTCAACAACGAACCATTGTCGGCACTTAGTCAACCTCACCTCTGACCCGTCACTTTGAAAATTGCCTGATCATTTTCCGCAGGCTGTCTTGTTTGCTTTTTTCCACGCCGATAGAGGCTGCCTTTGACCAAACACTGTGGCAGGTTTGAGGCACCACCACACTTCCAACACAGCATGTTGTATTTTTTTCCAGGAATCGGTGCATTACTTTACCTTTCAATGTGGAAGGTTGTGAGGGTTGTTTGTGGAAGAAGGAGGTAATTGACTGTTGTCACTTACCTGTCACTAAACATCAGTGGGAGTTAGGGTATTTCAGCAAACCTTACCTCTATAATTACTGGCGAGTTGTGCTCTAGATACCATGTCTTCACAACATTAAGTGTTCTTATATCGGTGATATTCTTCGTAAGGCTTTAGAGAGATACAACGGATGCAGCTGTAACTTTGAGTTTGTCGACAGCATCGTAATATCAAGTGGTAGGAAGCGGTCAGCACGATATTTTCTAAATATCTGAGCTGTTAGTTGTCCGTTGTGGAATGTGTTACACCTTCGAAGGGTATGGGTTATCCAAATAGCAACAACAACAATCTTTGTATTTATTTGTAGACAAATTACGCAAAGAAATCAACAAGGTAGTGAACAAATACATTGATCAAGGAATCGCGGAGCTCGTTCCCGGAGTGTTGTTCATTGATGAGGTCCACATGCTGGACATTGAATGTTTCACCTATCTTCACCGCGCACTGGAATCGACCATTGCTCCGATTGTTATATTTGCCACAAATCGTGGCAAATGCACCATTCGGTGAGTCTCTTATGGAGTGTCTTTGTTGACTGTTACTCGTTTTTGTGACGTGCTTGAAACTCCTCATTCCTCTATATCAGTAATAAGCGCTACTGGATGGAGGTAATCGTTGTTGACAGTCTGCTACTGCATGGGCAGGTTACTTTTTGCTTAGGTTCTTTTATTTTGTATCAGATCAACGCGAAGTCCATATTCATTACCAATATCAGTATGCATGTGTGGTTTGGTCGTCTAGCCTTTCCCCTCACCTTTCTACAAATCCTCAACGGTTTCTGTCCCCATTCTGTATTCTTTTAAGCGGCACAGAAGACATTGTTTCTCCGCATGGCATCCCTCTGGATCTTTTGGATCGCGTCATGATCATTCGAACCTTGCCGTATTCGTCCGACGATGTGATCCAGATCTTGCGCATTCGTGCTCAAACGGAGGGCTTAAAAGTTTCTGAACAGGCCTACGCACGTTTGGCTGGCGTAGCAACCGATACGACCCTGAGGTAAAATTTGAATTTTCTTTCCCTCAGAATCCTGGTTCATTTTTCTACCTCACAAACTCGAAAAAATTGGTTACCACCCGCTGTTTCGTTTAGGGGAGTTATTTGTGTATCTCGCGAAGTGCTGTTACGTTTGTTCTGGTTTGATAACTCGCACGATTCAAAAATGTAAATATCAATCTGGCATCCGCATGACTTTGGTGAATTCTCACTGACAATCTTACGTTCGGCCTATCGCCTCCGGTGCATAACCACATTTGTCCGACTTGTCTACTGATAGTTCATCCCTTGCTCCTCTATCATCACCACCGGATTCATGTTTCAAAATACCACCTCTATCACCTCGCAATCTACTAGCATTTAGTTAGGAGTTAGGGACAGCTGCTGGCAGTTTGAATCATACCTAATTCACAGGAGTCTAAAACCTAATGGTAAACCAAGCCAACTTATGGACTGTGAGACACAACAGCGCCCTTGGTATTTTCATAAGAACCGCTATCGCAAACACAGTGCTGTAGCTTTGTTGAACCGTTGCCTCCTTGTGATGAATTCTTTCCAGGTTACCAATAAGGAAGATATATCCAATCTTAGTTTCTCATTACTTGACTGGAATATATTAATCAGCTTTATATGAATGATTTGTATACTCTGCATCACAGTTGACAAAACTTCCACAACTTCGTTCCCGCCACCGTATTCTCCTAGGACGCCACCACTGTTCGAGCACCAAGTTTGCCATAGTGTGTGTGATGGATATTGCCTACGGCTTCTCTGAAGGATAATTATTCAGATTTGGCCTGATACAAACAACTCATGAACACCAACAAAGACCGCTCATGTTTTACACTATTTACAGCTTGCGCTTATTTCCACTAATTCGCTAAACATTGACATTTTTGTTGCGTTAATGAGAAACAATATAGAGTTCTCCAATAGAATGATTCAAAACCAGTTAGAATCCCCCGTATTGCATTGAAAGATGGCCATTCGCAGTCTATTTACAGCTATCTACCCACCTCCCCAAATCATCGGTGAACAGAACTGTGAGTTACAACCACTGTACGACATGTACGCGGTTGTTACAGCTGACAATGATGATGATGATTAAGTGTAATAACAGATTCTCCTGAAGTGTTGTACTTTGTTTTTAACACGCATGCGGTGCATGTATTGTCTCCCTAAAGTTATCCAGATTCTGGTTGAATCAAATAGTGGCACAAGCTCTACGTGTTTACCGAAAGTGAAAAGCACGTGCACTGGGTGGACTGTATCGGTGTATTAATTACCGGATGTCGCTTTTTCTGCTAAATTGGTCTGTGGACTCTGTATTGTATGGATAATTCAACGGCAAGACCCATCTCATGCATGGATTCACTATCTGAATAAGTGAATTTTCCGGAACAGCCACCATGAAGTTTCCCAACGTTTGACTTGCGCATTGACCGTAATTTATCGCTCGAAAAGTATTTGTTTACATTCCACCAGCGGCTTTAAGACCTAATGGGTGTATTAGATAGCCTTTTTAACTGTGAGGTTTTAATTTGATAACAATCATGACAGTGAATTGGGCACTCAAGAAAGTGCAGCTACTGAGTGTGCAGTCAGGCAGTCTCATGATCTGAGTTTTAGTAGATTCGTACACTTTATTCTTTCAACTTAGATATGTGAGTTACGGTTCTCAGTTTGGTGACTGGGTTTTTGGCTGGGCATGACAGTTTTGCCGGTCATCATCATCATCGACAGCATGACATGAGTGTTCAACACCGATGCTCCACTACCATATGTGCAGTTCATTATTGTACGTGGGCTGGGATGCTGCCAGGGCGCCCACACCTAGACAGGAGGACGATTAGGGTCCTCAACCAAAGCCTTTGGCTCAAAAGCCTAACCGCAAGGCAGCGGAAATGCATTAGCATTTCTACGGAACAAGTCGCCACATGTTCCAACCCCCAACCTGGATGGCCAGGAGACTGTGTTCGTCAGACCTCTAACCATTGACCAACCTGGTATGAGAGACTCTGTGAGTGTCGCGGGACACTCTCCAGTATAGCTCAATGGATCGCTGAGGTGCGCAAACCGTCACACCACGGTAAGGTCCAGTCTCTTCGTGACGGAAAGTGTAAGGTCATCGTCTTGGACACAGTCTACAATCCAAAGGAGACGTAATCTGGGTCCTGGAAGGCCTCAATTGGCTTTAAGATTGTACGGGCGCCGAATATAACGTGACAGATGGGGCCAATGAACGAATCACCAAAACTCAGGTAACGTTGGTAAACCTAAGACCTCTACAGCAACGAAGCGGCATACCTATGAATCTCAAGGAACGTGTAAATCAAGCTACAGTATGGGCTGTCCTACTAGAGTGAGACTTGGCCCTATGAGCAGCGGAAGTGAGAAGCCTTCAGATATTAGATAACAGTTACCTCAGAACCATAGATCGCCTTGGCCAGTGCTTACCAATCCGCAAGAAATTAACCAAGAACCAAATGTTCATGGACTTCAGTCGAAGAATATGTCTGACACCAACAGCTGCAGCGGTCTGGTCCCACACTGCTCATACTGAGTCGTCGTTTGAAGAAGTGCTGTTTTCCCCGCCCAATTCAGAGTGAAACAAGCAGAGAGGTGATCAACCTACGACTTTACACCGGGGCACGAAAAGTCTGGGTGCTTTCGGTGCAACACACCTACCAGAATGAGGTCTATATGGTCTCCCTGTAGGTGTAGGGGGACGCCGTAAAATATCAGCAGTGAAGCCCTGGTTTTAAACAAGTGTGTTGTCAACGGTGATATCTATAGAAGTTTGGATAACAATCATGGGACATTTAAGTAAGCAAGAGTTATTGAAGAAACTATGTGGTCAAGAGCATTATATAAAAACAACGGTGCTTCCTTTTGTATTCAGAAACTGGTTAGAAAAACCCTCGACTTCCCATGCCCATCTAACGACTGACCAAATAGCCATATTTGGAATAGGATGATGGTAAACACATCACAATACCCGGTACTGATATACAGCAGTTCCCTCAAAACTACACTCTTCTGGGACATAAAGAGAACCACTCGTCTTCATACCTGTCAAAATAAATTTTCCAAATGAAGGTCTGTTGCGTAAACCATAACTGGGTTAATCACGTTTCAACCGACCGGGTCTCTTCAACCTACAATATTAGCCAAAACAATGCACATACTGCTCTTGCTGTGCTGCCCAAAAAGGTTAGCTGGACATGACCACCACAGTTTCACACAGATGGGTGATCCGTAAATTTCTGTACTTGTCTTTAAACATCGTGTAGACTTCGACATTAGCAGATGGAGTATCTTTATCAACCCAAGGGACGTAAGAGAGCACCGTGCACGGGTGGGGGGGCAACCGGTCAGCCCAATCGATTTTGCGGCCTAATGTGCTAACACTTACAACACAGGGTACAATACACATTGACCTTTTTATAACGCCAGCGGAGTGGTTTGTGTGAAGCAGAGATG